ACTCATTAATTGCACAACAGTCAAAGTCGCCATCTTGTTTATATGAGACCCATATATCTCGCACATGCGCAGCGTGACGACTACTGCGCTTTAACGTTCTCTACATGCATGTTACATTTTTTTTGTACATGCTACATACACAATTTCAGAACAATGTGATATAAAATCCTGAAGAAGATTTAAAAGTATTTAAGAGAAATTAACTATAGCCCCAAAATTCATTTGACATTAAGGAATCAATGGGAAAAAAATAGATAATTTAATTAGCTACTAGTATTAGGTCAAAACCCAGAAGTTACTAAGCATGCAACTATGACAATATACTAGTGTGTACCAGGGGTGTATGTTTTCGGAAAGCTGAAATATTGGGAAATACGATCATGGTGATTTACAGGTGGTATTACTACATGTATTTGCATTACACAAACATGTACACCTGGTATTACGGTACAGTAAAAGAGCAGTCAAGTGATTTTGACTATTTCAAGTTGAAGAATTGATTGAAGAAGATGGTCTATAACCAAGATCAAGCATTCCAAACAAAGAATATTCAGTAAAAAATTACATAAACATACTGATAAAAACTGCGATACCTTAAAAAAAGCACTATGAGCACTGTCTGAAATGTGAAACTTGGCCAATAACTTGTATTTGGACATGCACACATTACATACATTTCTGGGATGGATTAAAGGGTGGCAGTTGTCACGCATGTGCGAGATATGGGTCTCATAAAAACAAAGATGGCGATTTTGACTGTCGCACACACCAACTAGTACAAACTGAAAGGTTACCAAGCTTTAATTACCGGTAGATTTTTACTTTGGTGTTTGGGAGGTAGACAACGAGTCGCCCTTGGTAATTAGTGAAATTGACGCCCATGGCAAAACTGGTACTCGTGATTTCATTAGAAAAACGCATTGAATTATGGTAAATCAGTGTTTATCAACACAAATGTCGCACATGCGCAGCGCGACGACCGTCGCCCTTTAACCATAAAAGGACAAAAAACTAAAATAATACAAATCTCACTGTCATGTGATAGATGAAACCCCAAATCCCGGAAATAAAAAGTCTAGCTCAAAACAAAATGCAGGATAATACTGTTTGTAATAAGACTTTCGAACTTCCAGACTCCATAAAAATGACGTCACAGCCAATAGTTTCATTAAATCGTGCGCTCCGACTCGACGTCCGCTGCGACTGAGCTGTTTTGTCTTACAGCGCCATCAATGTTGGCAACTATTCAGTCTTCGTTTTTTTATGGTTCACACTGAGGAAATTATCAACAAACGACCATACATAAAATGGCCGCACCAACGATCTGAAATATTTGTATACAACATTTGTTAACCAATTTTTCTCCAGAAAACATAATGGCAAAGCATAAAGGACCATTGAATACTTCGCAGAGAGAATGCGACGATCTCAAGAAAGAGGTAGAGTTAACTTTTAGTTTTTGTTGACAAGTTTAGTTATAACCGCTGTGTGATCTGGCAACAATCCAGCTGAGGCGTTCATAACAACCGGGAGACGTTATCTCCATGAATGCCACAAGACAACTATAGGGTTTAATTCAGTGTCAGAATATTCTATGGCTTAACTTTGTTTGTGTTCGCTGGTGGTTTGATTCAGTGTAAAAATTCTCCATCGAGTCCATGTTTTATTTAATTTGTATTTGTGTTGGTTGTAATGTCCTGACCGCGAACGTGGGGTTGTGATTTTTCTGTATCGAGGTGTTCAACACCCAGAACACTCCATGAATGATCGTGTTGTTGTTTTTTAGAGGGGTGATAGGTTCTGTTTTTGCCAGATTGATTATAGAATCCAACAAACATAAAATAGCACGTTCCATCTTTTTTGTTCTGGGCTCTCACTGAGAGAGAAGGCACATGATATGGCTGGATTGCTAGTACTAGTGCATTGTTACAATGTTTTCGAATAAATAATTCTGTCTCTTGTCTCATTCAAGGCCTTCTGTGCAGCATAATCTTTGATATAGAGGAATATGTTTGAAACATGGAGCTATAAATAAGATGTTGTAACAAACTGTGTGGTCATATATAAGTGTTTCATATGATAGACAATTTGTGAAAATAGACATTCATGAAATCTCAATTGTGCAAAAAAATTGTGGGTTACCGTATGTGGCAAATTATTTATTCTGAGTCGTCTGTAAATATGGTTGGATAAACTTGACAGGTAGATGCTACATGCGTTATTCAAAGAAACATAAATAAAATTATGTTGTCAACTAGGCAAAATAGATTTGTATTATTACAACAAAGTACACCAAAAATGAGGAAACAAATTTACCACTGATAGTGTAAAATAAATAAGGTGCTACACAAAATTTTTCTGTAAATACAACATTAGAGGTAATGTATTGAGTGCTAAATGCAGTTTACACTGACTATTAACCAAGAGTGCTATAATATTCACTGACTAGCCAAAGGGATAATGTATTTACAAACATTACAGTGCTATAATATTCACTGACTAGCCAAGGGGTAACCGTAATGTATTTACAAACATTACAAGACCACCTGTCATATGTCCGCAACCTTTCAGCAATATATCTGCAGATTCATCTTTACTTAGAGATCAAAGTAATAGCATTTAACCGTTTTCACTTTCCTGAATTCAAATTCATTTGATTTCGATCAATATGTTTTTGTTGCAACAGTACCATCTCATTTTGTGAATAAATATTATTTCAAATGTATGAGTTGGCAACCATAAAAAATAACCAAATGTCCACATAAAAACCACCTGTCTATAAAGATCAAAACACATATAAGAACTAAGATAACATCATTATTAATGATTTCATGTTTCTGAGCTCTGCAGCTACAGTTGTATGGGTTCTTGATGACTCAATTAAATTTCAAACAAAAATATTTATATTAAAAGTATGATTGTTAAGTTTGGTGCAGAACATTAATTCTCAATTCTCAGTTCTGGTAACCTATCACAAGTTCTAAAGATAATAAAAGCTCTGCTGTTTTTTGTATTTTAAATTGATGCACTTTTTTAATGTAACTTTGTGGTGTTAACAGGTTGATCTGTTAGTGAAAGAATGTATGTCTGTACTGGAAGATACCACAGTCACGGGCAGCCAAAAGAAAATGGACAGCTTGCATAAAAAGTAATGTATATATACTTTCAAAAATATATCATTCAGTGGATATAACTATTTCAGGGTTTTTTTCAAGTGTGTTCCACAAACAATTACCGGGTACCCTAATATAATGAGCATTTTGGGTATTCCCTCAGAAGCTTGTAGACTGGAATGTAGTGAAGATTATATTCTTGGTTCTTATGGTCGCAGACGCACTGTGAAATACACAAACATGTAGCCTTGTTTGCAAACATATCAGCTTTGAAACTACATTTAAGTTTTGGTGTAATTCTATTAGGTGAAAACTGACAGAATCTGCTGCAGTAATGAACAATTAACGCTTCCACTTAAAGTCGTTTGTCACTCTGAATCCTTCAAACTACAGTCTTATATTTTGTAGTAATTATCATAGTTGGTAATCTCTGAAATAAAAAGTGGAAATATCTTGACTCTGATGTTGTGCCATTAAAACAAGAATAATGTCCCATGGCACTGATGGTTGTGCCTTTAAACCCAGAATAATGTTGCATGGCACTGACATTGTGCCTTAAAAACAATAATGACTCATTGCACCAATTTTGTGCCTTAAAAAAAAAGTCTACTCTGATATGCCTTTAAAACAATAATTTCTTAAAGCATCGATATTGTGCCTTTAAAACAGACAATTCTGACACTAATGGCTCCTTAAGTCCTAAAGCATGGAGTACCTTTTTTTTCTGTCATGTATAACCATGAGTATTAATAGAATATAATTTTTATATTAGTTTACCAGAAGGGCAAGATTTAAGCACAATATTCTCGCCTAAGGTACGAGAAAGTATGTTTCAAACAGCTATACAAGTCTTGAAAGTGTCTGTCAATCACAGGTTTTTTCAAATAAAAATGTT